TCTGCCCTCTGAGACAGGAGGACCATTTCCGTTGCCATCTTCTCGCGACGTCGGCGCCCAGACTTCCCTGGGGCCAGGTCTTCACTACATCAGAGCGTGAATTACCTACCCCGCTTTCGCTCCCAGGAAAAACCAAGTCATACCACGCGCCTCCTCGTCAAGCGACCTGACCAGTACAGGCCGTAGTTTGGCATCGCTTGGTATCTCTTGGAAGCGAGGGTGGTCAAACGCGAGGTAGGTTTTTTCCCCCTATTACAAGCCGCTTGTTGATGTGCCCGGACACGCGAAGCGGCCTCCAGAGGCGCCAAAAACATAGAGCACGTGCCGTCAAGATTGGTGGCCAAGGCTTGTATCTCATCAAGAGCCACCTCCTGGGAAACCTATCTTCCCGAACACGTCCGCAGGCGGTGGATCTCCATGTGCTCGGGGGGCCTGGGGTCCAAATATGTCCACGTCCGCCGCCTCCCAGGGACTGGCTTTCCATACTGAACCGTTTTCTGACGCTCCCTAGGCCCGGTGAGGCCATTTCGGAGGCCGACAGTTGCTCTAGAACCGTCCCGCCCTGATCTCTGCACAGCGGAAGGCTCTCTGAGGACATCGGCTCCCAGGGTGGTGGATTTGGATAAGCTCAAGTCGGGCAGGTCTCTCTAGGAGCTACATTCAAAAAGAGTAGCAACAAATAGTCTTGGGACGATGTGTTGACCACTTTTGATTATTTTTGAGCATTCGTTTGCTATTGCATTTCTCCTTCAAAGTCTGGCTGTAGGGTGACACGCCCGACCTAAGGATAAGCCCCCACCTCGTACAAGTCGGGGGCGGCAAAGAGGGGGGTGATGACTAGAGGGGGTTGGATGTCATGGCGGGGGCCATTATATTTCCCCAGATGTTATGCCACCTCTGCTTATTTCATTACGTCCCTGGCCCCCCCCGCTGGGCCGCGAACATGCCGCCGGTCATGAATTGCACCCCCCCTCTTGGAAACCCCCCTCTTGGCCGCTCCCCAACAAGGGGGAGGCACAAGGGGCACGCGGACCGCGCCGGCAGCAAGTGCACCCCCGGGCAGCCCCCGCCGCTGCAGCCAAGCAGCAGCGGCCGCGGCTGGCCGCGGGTCATGGCCGCTCTCTTCTCTCGGCGGCGGAAGAATCCTCCTCCTCCTCCTCCACCTCCTCCTCCTCCTCCTTCCTCCTCCCTCCTCCTCCCTCCTCCTCCTCCTCCTCCTCCTCCTCCTCCCTCCTCCTCCTCCTCCTCCTCCAAGAGATGCCGGCTCCCCCAGGTAATCCAGAAGCCCAGGTGACAGTTGTTGCCCTCCGTGAGGGTAGGGAAGGGGTGATTTAATGGAGGACTGGAGGCTCTCCGGCGGGAAAGGCTCGTCCTCCTCCTCCTCCTCCTCCTCCTCTCTCTCCTCTCCTCCTCCTCCTCCTCCCCCTCCTCCTCCTCCTCCTCCTCCTCCTCTCCTCCTCCGCTCTCCTCCTCCTCCTCCTCCTCCTCCTCCTCCTCCTCCTCCTCCTCCTCCTCCTCCTCCTCCTCCTCCTCCTCCCCCTCATGCTTCTCGGGCTAGCATTGCTCCTGTCACGCTCATTATCTTCGCGTTTCTTGATCCGTCCTGGTTCACCATCTTCGCCCAGCATCCAGGCATGGGGGGGGAGGTTTCAGGATGTCTTGCTTTTCGTTGGTTTCTGGAGGGGGTGCTCTCGAGGGCTCTCCAGGGGTGCCCGGATCGTCACGGAACGACCGCCAGAGGCTCGTTTTATGGCCTAGAAAGTGGCAGGCCGCGGGATCGAAGTCTGACGGGTCGGTGGATCTCGCCACGTCGCCCATGCATCGGTGATACGGCGTGATGCGGAGCTCGGTATTCTCCACGCCGACGTCGCCCATGCATCGCCGATGCATGGCCGATGCGGCCCTCACCCCATCTACACGGACCCGATGTTGGCGGCCTCCAGATCTGGTGACGGGCCGCCAGGGTCCACGTCGAACCGCCCGATCCAGCTCGAAGTCGATTGCAATCATTTTCAATCCGCTTTGATGCTGGTCGTCCAGCGGTCCCGTGCAGCCGATCCGATTCGATTTCGATTCCGTGTTGACGCACTTGGATCCGACGCACGTTCTGATCCGATCCGATTTCCCGATTTGATACTGATCTTGGAGTTGTGGACACAGTCGGTGCCAGTTGGTAGGGCCGACTCTTCAGTTCAGAGAAATTCGAGGATCGCGGATCGAGGTCTTTACTTGTTTCTTCCCTTTCGTTGGCTTCTGGAGGCATCCGGAGGCCTCGGGCCTCGGGGGGCTTCTAGAGTCCTGACTTATGGAGACCTCGTGGGCAGTAGCTGTATGTCCTCCCAGTCCGCCTGCATGTCCCAGGATGTCTCCAGGAAGTGAGGGACTGGGTCGAGAGACCATCAGTAGACACCAGGGGCCCCTAGATACCGGGCTCGGGCTGTAGGTCTGAACCCTATTGGATGTTCGTTGGGATCTCGTGGGGGTGCTCTCGGGGCCTTCTCGGAGGCAGTTTTGAAGCCTCTTGGGGGCTGTCTGGGGGCTGTTTGGGGGGCCCCTTTGAGCCTCTAGGGGGCCTCTAGGGGGCCTCTTGGGGCCTCCTGGGTGCCCTTTGGAGCCTCCTGGGGGCCTCTTGGGGAGGAAGTCTTAGATTTTCGGTGCGCGTTCCCTCTCTCAGGCCTTCTTTTGGGGCCGTCTTGGGGCCCTCTTGGGCCGTCTTTGGCGCCTCATGGAGGGTGTTTCTTTATTGCTTGCGGCATGACGGGCGTCATGGCCCCCAACCCTCCCCTCCGCCCCCTATGACGTAACGCTCCCCCCCCCTTCCCAGTGCGCTCCAGGCACTGCCGCCGTGCGCATAGGGATCCGTATAGGTGTCCGCATCGCAATCCGCATGAGAGTTTGGGCCGCAGTCGTCGTCGTCGTCGACATCGTCGTCGTCGTCGAAGTCGTCGTCGTTGTCGTTGTCGTCGTCGTCGTCGTTGTCGTCGTCGTCGTCGTCGTCGTCGTCGTCGTTGTCTCCGTCGTCGTCCTCGTCCTCGTCCTTGTCGCTCGTCGCTCGTCGCTCGTCGCTCGTCGCTCATCGTCGTCGTGCGCGCGGACGTGGCTGGAGCCTGTTTTTTAATTCCGGGCCGATGACGACAATCAATTGGGGGGGGGGAGGGGCCGATGACGTCACGTTTGGCGCCAGCGGCATCTGGGAGTGTCTAGGAATGACCGAGGACGGGTAGCAGCAGCATGTATGTGGCGATCTGCAGCACAGCGCCTGTGTACACCACAGTGCCTGCGTGCACAGCAGCGCCTGTGTACACCACGCCGACTGTCTACGCCACAGCAGCCGCGTGCAACACAGCGCCAGTGTGTGGCACAGTTCCTGAGGGCACCACAGCGCTTGTGTACACCACAGCGCCTGCGTACACCACATCAGCCGTGTGCAACACAGCACCAGTGCACACAACAATGCCTGCGTGCACCGCGCCTGTGTACACCACGGCGCCTGTGTGCACCACGGCAACCGTGTGCAACAGAGCACACTGTTGCATCTATAACTTCAGAATGGATCATTATGAGAAAATGGAGTGCTTGTTGACTCCACAGAAAAAATTGTTTGATATAGGATTTGCAACGGAGCTTTATGGAAAAGTGAGCGCCGCTGGAATCTACGAGTCTTCCCGAGTCCGCCCGCACCATCCTAACTCCTCCCATCTGCGTCCAGGGCGCTCCAGCAAAACTCGCCGTCCGAGAACCAAGCGGGCTGATTACATTGGCCATTCTGCCGCGCACGCTGAGATGCGCACGTGCGCTGTGGCGCCGGCCCGCACGACGAGGGGGAAGGGTGAGGGAGGAGGAGGAGGAGGAGGTGGAGGTGGCGGATGAGGGAGGAGGGAAGAACGTCGCATTCGATTATCAGCACTACTTTGGCGTAGCGTTTAGCTGTCCGCACCAGAACCTCACCTACATGCTCCTTCTACTTGCCCTGTGCACGCAGGCGCTGTGGTGTACACCAGCGCTGCGTTGCACGCGGATGCTGTGGTGTAGACAGGCGCCGTGGCGTGCACAGGCGCTGCGGTGCACGCAATCATTGTGGTGTACACAGGCGCTGTGTTGCACGCAGTTGCTGCGGTGTGTACATTCGCTGTGGTGCACACCGGCGCTATGGTGCACGCAAGCACGGTGGTGTACTTTGGCGATGCGTTGCGCGCGGCTGTTGCGGTGTATGCAGGCGGTGTGGTTTACACGCGCGCTGTGGTGCACGCGAGCATTGTGGTGTACGCAGGCGCCGTGGGGCAGATCGCCACTTTCATGCTGCTCGCGTCGTCGTCGGTCTCGTCGCTCGTCGCTCGTTGCTCGTTGCTCATCGTCGTCGTGCGCGCGGGCGCGGCTGTCGCCCGACGCTCTTATGGGCCGTCTTGGGGCCGTCTTGGGGCCATCTTGGGGGCCTCTTGGGCCGTCCTCGGAGCGTCGGGAAGCAGAAAAGGCGAAACCGCCCAAGTCCTTCAATACCCCTAAGAAAAACAATGATTTGTGCCTCTTGGGGTTCTCTTGGGAGGCCTGTTCGAGCCTCTTGGGGCGCCTCGGAGACCTCTTGGGCCGTCTGGGGGCCATCTTGAGCGCCTTTGAGCGATCTTTCGGCGACTCGGGGCCCCCTTGGACCGTCTTCAGGGCCTCTCGGGGCCCTCTTGGCCCGTCTCGGAGCAAGCCGCGGGGCAGAACAAGGGGCGCTCGCCAAGCCACAAGAGATTTCGGAGTTTGGGTCCAGGCCCCTTTCAGGACAAGGACATGCCCTCTCCGTGCCCAGAGGCACGGTGGCGCATCCGGATGTACGACCGCACTGGATGGAGGCGTGCGACGAAGACGGTGCCGAAGTCCCGTACCAGGGATACATTGTGCGATCGCAGGTGTAGGCGTAAGTAGTGGCCCCATCAGTAGTATCCCGATCGCTTGCGGCCTTCCCGCTCCCCGCCTTGTTCACCCTGTTTTGTTCGTGCCGCTTTTCCAAATGTGCCAGCATTTCATCTCAGCCCGTCAAACATATGTGTACCCTGCCTTCGGTCGACATCCATCCATCTACCCTTGCACGCCAGCTCTGCCTATCGTGAGCGGTATGTGCTCTTGGAGGTTCCAGAGATTACGCGTTTCGGCCCGCGAGACCAGCGACCACTTTGAGTCCACGCGGGCATGCTGCCCATGAAGACCAGGCCGAGACGGCACGGAGGGTGACCGCGAGGCGGTTCGTGGGAGCGGATCGTGACGTCTTATCGGTTCCATAGCTCAGCAGTCCGATTTGCAGGATCGCCCGGTCCCACGAGCGCACGAGCTCGCGGTCTCTTGCGAGGGCGGTGTCATCCGCCGCCCGTCGTATCGACTCGTCGGCGCAGTCCAGCCAGTGCATGACGCCATGCGGTTGTTGCAAGCTCTCGACGCAGCGGAGCTCCTGGACGCTACATCGTTTCACATACTCAGTGCTGGGGCGGAAGACCGCGGGGGAGAGCAGGCGCTACAAGCTCAAGCCGCCAGCAGACCACCATGGCACGAAGACGAGCATCGATAAGGTGAGTGGCTCTGGGGAGAGGGGGGGAGAAGGAGGAGGAGGAGGAGGAGGAGGAGAAACGAATACGAATGTCAGTTCGCGAAGTGAGGGGGGAAGGAGGACGAGACGGAGTCAGGATTCGGGATTCAGCGCCACTGGGAGCGGTTGACTCACACGTCATCAAAGCTGTGCAAGCGTTAGTGAAACATTCGTTCAAGCACGCACTGACAAAACCGACAGAGCTGCTCGAACACGCTCCAGCGCAGCTGACAGGCTTCTGAGCTGCAAGAGTGGAGACCCTGGCAGCAAGAGTCTGCTCGGGCTTGATCGGCAGCATGCCTCCGACGGCAGGCAACCTGAGGCAGCCGCCCGAAAGCACCAGCTCCCACGACCTCTGCGATCCCGGCCCTTCGACTGAGGCTCACGACGGTGCTCTACAATCGGGGGCGGAAAAGAGGGGGGTGATGACTAGGGGGGGGTGGATATCATGGCGTGGGCCATGATATTTCCCCAGATTTCATGGCGCCTCTTCTTATTTCATTACGTCCCTGGCCCCCCCGCTGGGCCGCGCACATGCCGCCGGTCATGAGTTGCACCCCCCCCTCTTGGACACCCTCCTCTTGGCCGCTCCCGATACAAAAGGTCCACCACTAGCGTCCCTAGCTAAAGCACCGCTGGTTCCCTTCCCCCACATCTTATCTTGGCTCCAAGAGCTCCCTCGCCGATCCTGCGCCTTGTCAGGCCGACCTCCTTCTTTGTGTCGACGATCGCCGCAGCGTCGAACGAGCGAACCGAACACTCAAAGTCCTCCAATCGATGACTGGAAGGATCACTGAGGGGGTCGTAGGCCAGGACTCGCAGCCATCTGAACAAGGCAGCAGCCCCCACCATACTCAGCGCCATGAAAGCTGTGAAAGGCTCTCAACAATAGAGTGAGTGAAACATGAAATTCATTATGCTTCCCTGACATTCAATTGGCCCATCACGGCAGCTGAGGACGAGAAGGAAGCGGGGGAGAAGGCGGATGTGGATGGAGGGGGAGGAGAGGGATGAGGGGCATGAGGGCAGGGACACAATCAGGGTCAGGGGCATGAGCGTAATCAGGGTTACCGGTGGGGCAGGTGCAGGGGCAGAACCAGGGTCAGGAGCATCGTCAGGAGTTGCATGATGAGAGAGGTTGAGGGAAGAGAAGTCCACACCAAATACAGAAGCATTTGAATGTCCCCAGCGGTCGCTGGCTTGGCCGATTCAATGGCTGGACCTTGGGCATAGTGGACTCAGGTTTCAATGTGGGGATCACAACCATGACATTGAACAGCGCTGCCGCTTAAACGACTGATGGAGCCGGCCACGCGTACACAGTGTTCATGTCTAATTATTCGAAAGTTTTTTTGCTTGGGGGGGGGCCAAGATCCTTTCATTTCTAATTGTCCTATCCTGGGCCTCTTCCTAGCCACTAGGGGGCCAGGAACAGTTAGAGCACAATTCGAAATGAGCACGATTAGAAATGAACGACGCGTTACAGGCGGCCCAGAAATGAGCACGCGTACAGGCGGCCCGGATTAGTAGGTCGACCTTGCTAGATCAAGGGTACCTTCGTGTCCAGTGTCTTACGACCCATCCCTCCTGCATTCCTGTTGCAAAGTGGCCCTCGGAAGGGCCTTGTGTCCTCTCGCGTGTCCTGCCCAATCAAGTCCGACTGTACAGTCGGGGCGTTGAAGAAGGAACCCCTTTCGTTTGGGAGGGGCTCAGTGTTCCTTAGTTGTTTTACCCTTGGCCTTAGGTGCTGCTGAGGTATTCGATGGGAAATCTAAGTTTAGCTTATGGAAGAAAGGGGCCTCGTTCCTTCTTGAGGGTTCCTTAGGTCAACGCCCCGACTGTACGAGTGACCCTCCGCTGGAGTGACCTTTGGCGCGCGGCTTTTTCCGGGAAGGGGCGCGGGGGGGGGAGCCCCGGACCAGAGCACGCTGGCCGCAGGTGCCGCGTCGCGTGCAGCGCCTCGGCAGGCCGCGTACCAGAGGTCACTCTCGCCTAGGGTTAAGTCGGGCCTGTCCCTCTACAGGGGGAATATTCGAAAATAGTCGACACATAGTTTGGGACTATTTTTTGATATTTCTGGGCATTTGGGGAGTATTTTTTGAGTATGTGTAATTCTTCGCCCAAGATCCCCCTGTAGGGGGACGGGCCCGACCTAAGCCTAGGGTCTTTCTTGCCAGCAGCCGTGGGGGCGAACGTGAGACGTCAATCTTCTTGGGTGCAGGGCTGCTGGGGTCGGCCACTCCCCTCGCCGAGCGCGCCCACCGCGCAGGTGGTGCTCGCCGTGGAGGTGCCCGCGGGCATCATCGACGGCGCCCTGTGCGCCCTCTGGCTCAAGGCGATCCTGGACAACGCGTGGTGCCGCAGCTCCGAGGAGGGGTGGGTGCCTACACCGCTGCCCTTCCCTCGTGCTCGCCTGCCTGGGCCTCCCCGGAGGCCCTCGCCGCCACGGCTGGATGCGCCTCGAGTTTCTGGTCAGGGCGCACCCCAGGAAAGACCTGGGGCGCAGCGGCATCGGCTTCTGCAGGTTTCCCCAGCACTTTGTGGGCCCCGCAAACGGCAGGGCCGTTTTTCCACCGTTTCCCAAAAAATATCCCCCGAAAATGGAAATTGCAAAAAAACAACGACCGGAACGGCAAAAAACGGCTCCAGGATTGGAACCAGAGCTGGAACCGGTCAAAATACGGCGACGGAACCGGTAAAACAACGGCGTTGGAACCGGCAAGAAAACGGCAAAACGGAACTTGTAAAAAAAATGCCCTGTCGTTTCCAGGGCCCACTGAGCCCCAGGAAAGGTCCGGGGAGCAGCGGCATCGGCACCTGGAGGCTTCCCCAGCAGTGGCCCTATCGCAGCCCCCGTCGCCCCTCGGGGCCCATCTCGATGCGATCGCCTTTGGGTAGGCGAGGTTTCCAGACACTCCCGTCGGCTCCTGGAGGTCTTCCTGCCGCGGGGTCCGCTCTGGCAGCTGCGCCCCGCCGAGCGCCTTGGCATCGCTCGGACGTGTGCATTTTTCCCTCGGCGAGGACCATCGAGGACCATCCTTGATGATTTGGCGAAGAACCCACGCACGAAACCGAAAACATGCACGGGAAATGGACGTCCGAGCGATTGCGAGGCGCGGTCCTGGGGATTTCGGGGCCGCCCCGAGCAGCCGCCGGGGACCTGACATGTGCCCTGACAGCCGAGTGGTGTCGATTCCGGCGGGCTCGATCCGATGCGATGGCGATTCTTCTGAGATGCATTGCGGCACGATGGTGGCACGGCGCTGCTGTGCATCTCTGCGAGGCAGCTCCGATGAGGTTCCAACTCCATGCTGAAGCGGCCCGCTCCGACGCACATTCCGATTCGATGCTGATCGATGTTGATTCGATTCGATTACGCCTCCCGCTCCCGCGGATTCGCCGGTTCGATGTTGATCGATGCTGCGTCTCGTCGCCCGAGGCTTGGGTGTCTGGGCGCAGAGGGGGGAGGACGAGGAGGAGGAGAAGGAGGAGGAGGAAGAGGAGGAGAGAAGCATGAGGAGGAGGAGGAGGAGGAGGAGGAGGAGGAGGAGGAGGAGGAGGAGGAGTTTACGCTACGATCAGCCGATCCATGTCAGCACATAGCAGGGAGGAGAAGGAAGAGGATGAGGAGGGAGGGAGAGGGTGAGGAAGGAAGGAGGAGGAGGAGACGGAGGAACGGAGGACGAGGAGGATGAGGCGGAGGAAGAAGAAGAGGACGAGGAGGACGAGGAGGAGGACGAGATGGAAGAGGAGGAGGTGGATGAGGACGAGGAGGAGGAGGAGGTGGGAGGAGGAGGAGGAGGAGAAGGAGGAGGAGGATGAGGAGGAGTGGACGAGGAGGAGGAGGAGGAGGACGAGGGAGGATGAGAGAGGAGAGGGAGGAAGAATGGGGAGAAGCAGGAGGAAGATGGAGCAGGAGGTGACACGCGTAACCGTTTTGTCTTTCAAGTTTCCCACCCGCAGCAACCCTCATAACAGGGGTTGCCGTGTTGATGTCTCTCAATTCGAATTGTGCTGCAAGCTCGGCCCCACAGTTGGGCCCGCTCGAACTCGCTTCAGTGCCCAGCCTGGTGGGCATCGCCCGCAACATAATGTAATCACCGCCAAGAGGTGAAAGAGGAGCATGTTGATGATGACGATGATGAATGTCATGATGCTGATGACTATGATGATAATGATGACTGTGATGCTGCTCGTGATGGTGATGGTGCTGTCGATGGTGATGGTGATGGTGGTAGTGGTGAATAATGATTGTGATGATGGTGGCGACGATGACGACGATGATGATGGTTGCGGTAATGATTATAATGTGGCGGCTAGTGATGGTAACGGTGGTGGTGGTGGATGGTGATAGATGGTGACGATGATGAAGATGCCGATTGTGATGATGATGCTTGTTGTGCTGATGATGATGCCGCTGATGCTGCTGGTCATGAT